TGGGCGGTGGGAGGCTGAGCCCCGGAAGACGGGGACCCGCTGCCGGTTCTGCCCCCGGCCGTGGCAGAGGCGTGGGGGCGGCCGGTGCCAATCCCCCTGCCCCCTCTCTCCCAGTTCTCGTTCCTGATGACGGAAGCCCTGCTGATATTCTCCCCGGAGACCTCGTTGCTCCGCTCCTTCTCTCGCAAAGTCAAAGTGCGGGTGCACTGGGCCCTCCAGCTGCTCGCCCTCCTCTGCGCCCTCCTGGGGCTGGGCATCATCACCTACAACAAGCACCTGAACGGCAAGGCCCACTTCGTGACCTGGCATGGCCTGACGGGGCTGCTGACCGTGCTGTACGCCAGCGGGCAGTGCGCAGGGGGGGTGCTCCTGCTCTACCCCAAGCTGATGAAGAACTGGACGCTGGCCAAGCTCAAGCTGTACCACGCGACCTCGGGGCTGGTGGGCTACCTGCTGGGCTGTGCCAGCCTGATGCTGGGCATGTGCTCCCTGTGGTTCACCGCATCGGTGACCAGCGTCTCCTGGTACCTCACCATGCTGTGTCCCCTTCTCACCAGCCTGGTTATCATGAACCAGGTGAGCAACGCCTACCTGTACCGCAAGCGGAGCCAGCACTGAGGGCTCGGTGTGGATCTGAACTTCCCCTGTGTGAGCCAGCGAGGCCGGGGCTCCCCCCCGCAGCCCCCCATGGGGGTCCCCTGCTTGCGCAGGCTCTCCTCAGTACTAGATTTCTGCCTGCTCGTCTCTCGTTAGTCCTGGGTTGTCCATAGCGTCTCATCCCTGGGGAGCGGCCATGATGTGCGTGACACCAAGCGGGCAGGAGTTGCCTATCTCACGCCTGCCTCGGTGGGGACGTTTCCCAGCACAGGTAACGCTGCTGCTCCCCGCGGCAGCTTGGTGCTCAGTGCTGGGAACCGGAGGATTCACTCAGGATTCCTGGTCCTTATCCCCTTCCCTTGCCACCCAGGCTGCTTTGGAGCAGGCAGGACAGGAGCTGTCTTATTCCTGGTGAGGAGGGCAGGGAGTCCCCACTCGCCTGGGAGGCTGCAGCGGGCACCACGCTGCCTCTCCTGCCACGAAGGCAGCTTGGCCAGTGAAAGCGCAAGGCACGGTTGTGGCTTCAGCCCAGCTGAAGCAGGGTGGCAGCGCCCAAGGCATCTGTCCCCATGGTGCGGCCCCACGCAGGGACCCGGGGGCTCTCCGGGACTGGTGGGATCAGCCGTGCCTGAGGGCCGCAGATCCGGGGACGCGTTGCCGTGC